AATTAATATTGTCAAAATGGCCATCCTGCCTAAAGCAATCTACAGATTCAATGCAATCTCTATCAAAATATGTACAACATTCTTCAATGAACTAGAACAAATAGTTCTAAAATTCATGAGATTCACATATAAATCAAGTATAAAAATCAAATGAATAATCGTATCTGACTTTATTGTTTATAGTTCATGATGCGTGATCAAAACCAAAAGTTTCTGTGATATGACTGCCCTTGCACTATTCACCATGTAAGAACTTATTCACTATGTAAGAACTTGTTCACCATGTAAGAACTTGTTTGTTATGCTTCAGAAGATTGGAGACTGTTGAGAGTTAGGCTTGGGGTTGATTAATGATTGTGCATTGAGTTCCCTATACAGAATTTTATTGTTGTTAACAATGATTTGATCAACAAATATGAGAGATGCACTCTCAAAAAAAAAAATTCATATGGAAACACAAAAGACCCTAAATAGCCAAAGCAATCCTGAGAAGGAAGAATAAAGTGGGGGCAGATTACACTCCCCTACTTCAAGCCCTACTACAAAGCCACAGTAATCAAAACTTGTTTTGATTTGTTACTAGCACAAGAACAGACTAACAGATCAATGGAACAGATGGAGAGCCCAGATATAAGCCCAAGCATATATGGTAAATAAATATATAAGGGAGCCATGGATGTACAATTGGGAAATGACAGCCTCTTCAACAACTGGTGTTGGCAAAACTGGACAGCTACATGCAAGAGAATGAAACTGGATTATTGTCTAACCCCATACACAAAAGTAAACTTGAAATGGATCAAAGACCTGAATGTAAGTCATGAAACCACAAAAGTCTTAGAAGAAAACATAAGCAAAAATCTCTTGAATATAAACATGAGTAACATTTTCCTTAACACATCTCCTCAGAAGGGAAACAAAAGCAAAAGTGAACAAATGAGACTACATCAAACAAAAAGCTTCTTTACAGCAAAGGACACCATCAGCAGAACAAAAAGGCATCCTACAGTATGGGAGAATATATTGGTAATCAACATATCCAATAAGGTCTTAACATCCAAAATACATAAAGAGCTGACACGTGTCAACACCCAAAAAGCAAGTAAGCCAATTAAAAATTGGGCAGAGGATCTGAACAGACACTTCTCCAAAGAAGAAATTCAGATGGCCAACAGACACATGAAAAGACACTCCACATCACTAATCATCAGAGAAATGCAAATTAAAACCACAATGAAATATCACTTCACACCAGTTAGGATGGCCAACATCCAAAAGACAAGCAACAAAAAATGTTGGTGAGGATGTGGAGAAAGGGGAACCCTCCTACACTGCTGGTGGGAATGTAAATTAGTTCAACCATTGTGGAAAGCAATATGGAGGTTCCTCAAAAAACTAAAAATAGCAATACTATTTAACCCAGGAATTCCACTCCTAGGAATTTACCTGAAGAAAACAAGATCACAGATTCAAAAAGACATATGCACCCCTATGTTTATCTCAGCACTATTTACAATAGCTGAGAAATGGAAGCAACCTAAGTGTCCATCAGTAGATGAATGGATAAAGAAGAGGTGGTGCATATACACAATGGAACATTATCTAGCTATAAGAAGAAAACAGATCCTAGTGTTTGCGACAACATGGATGGAGCTAGAGGGTATTATGCTCAGTGAAATAAGCCAAGCAGAGAAAGACTAGTATCAAATGATTTCACTCATCTGTGGAGTATAACAACAAAGCAAAAACTGAAGGAACAAAATAATAGCAGACTCACAGAACCCAAGAAGGGATTGGTGGTTACCAAAGGGAAAGGGGCTGGGGAGGGTGGGTTGGGAGGGAGGAGAAGGGGATTAAGGGGTATTATTATTAGCGACATAATGTAGGGGGGAAGGCAGTATAGCACAGAGAAGACAAGTAGTGACTCCACAGCATCTTAATACACTGATGGACAGAGACTGTAATGGAGTATGTGGTGGGGACTTGATAATAGGGGGGAATGTAGTAACCACAATATTTTTCATGTGAAACATTCTTAAGATTGTTTATCAATGACACTTTAATAATAATAAAAAAGAAACAATAAACCTGTGAGATAGGTAGGGTTGATTTTATTACCACCATTTTACCAACATAGTAACCAACTAGTAAAATGTACAATCAAGAATGTTTATGCTCTCTGCATAATAATTTCTGCCACTTAATGCCAGCTGCTCTGTAGCCATTTGGTGCCTGGTGTGTCAGAATTCAAGGATTCCCAGGAGTGAGCACAACTCTTGCCTTAAGAAGGCAATTAAGGGCTGGAGCTCAAGCTGCATGGTGAGAGTACCTAGAAGCTGAAAGGTAGTAGGACTTCATACGCCAAGGGAAATGCTTTGGTTTTGCCCAGAGAGCTATAAGAAGTCTCTGGATGGCTTAAGAAAGAAAGAAAGTGGCATGATCAAAATTTCAAATTGAAATTATTTCTACTGTATATGTTATTTTCATCCAACTAATACTTGCTTGTCAACAACATAAGATGATTGTGCCAAGGGCCATTCTCAGAGCTGGAGGTACAGCAGAAAACAAAAGTCTTCATGAAGCCAACAGTCTAGTAGAAAAAACTAAGAATAAACAAATAATCACATAAAAACACAGCATAGTTTTAGGCAGTTGTAAATGCTTTGAAGGAAAATAAAGTAGGGTAAGGGGAGTTGAGAGAATAGGGGGTGGGTATATTTTAAATAGGTAATTTAGGGAAAGCTTTATTAAGGAAGTTACTTTTGAGGAGAGACATAAATGAAATGAAAATGGGGAAGACAGTTCTACAAAGTTCCAGGCAATGGGACAAGGACCACCACATGCAATGTTTGTGACATAGAAATGAGCTTTGCCTGCTTTGAGGCAACCAAGGAGGCCAAAGTGAATGGAGTTAAGTGAATGAGGGGCAAGAGTGATATGCAGTAAGGAAAGAGGTGAGCGGGGGTAGGTGGTGGTGGGTCATAAACTGTAGGTAGGTTTTTCTAAGTGTAATGAGAAACTCCTAGACTGGAAAGTAATGATATCTGACTTACTTTCTAAGATATCTCTGGTGGAGACATGGGGGACAGCTGTGAAAGGGGTTGTTAGGACTGAATAGTGTCTCTCTCCCAACCCTACCTCCGAGCTGAAGTCCTAACCCCCAATGTGACTGTACTTGGACAGAGCCTTTAAGAAGGAAATGAAGGTTAAGTGAGCTCATCAGAGTGGATTCCGATCCAATATGGCTGTGTCCTTATAAGCAGAGAAAGATCCCAGTGATGAATGTGCACGGAGAATAGTCATGTGAAGGCACAGTAAGAAAGTGGCCATCTGCAGGCCAAGGAGAGAGACTCAGGAGACATGAGCCATGCTGGCACCATGACTGTGGGCTTCCAGCCTCCAGAACCATAAGAAAATAAATCTAGTTTGTTTATATATCCTAGCCTGTGGTATTTTATTATAGCAGCAATGCTACCCTAGCTGACCCAGCAAACTAATGTAGGAGTGGAGAACACGGTAAAAAAAACCCAAGTTCTCTGTCAGATATTTTGAGTGTGACATGCCTGTTAGACTTCCAGGCAGAGAAGCTGAGCAGGCGGTCAGGTATGCAAATCTGAAACTCAGGGAAGAGGTTGAAGCTGCAGACATAATGAAAAGTCATTAGCTTAAAAATGTTATGGGGAGAACACATACTCCTCAGTTTCTGTGTTCCTAAAAGGAACCTCCATCAAAGTTACAATCCTGGCTTCTCTCTCTTTTCTTGGTCACTTCTCCCCAGGGAGGAAGACTGACATAACTGACTGGTCACTTTGGGAGAAATAACCCAGTATTCATGGTTCATTTCCTTATATATTTTTGGGATGACAGCCTTCAGAGAATGTACACTTCCTAACCTCACATGTTGTGAGTTTTTCAGGAGCTAGTTTGCACTGGGAGAGGCTGCAGTATGTGTTTGTGTAGTAGTGGTGATGGTGACAGTAGGGGAAGGGCAAGTTAGCCATTACATAAAGCTTTAATGGTGACTGTTATGAATATACGTGTTGTATCATGGGAACATAAAAGTATTGAGTTTCTTAATTTTCACTTGGAGTTTTTATCAATTAGCTATTTATAACAGGACTTGCCAAAACCTTCTTCACAAAATAATAATCTATCTGTTCATAAATTGCTGTGTCTTAGCAATTCGAGCAGGGTTCTTTGGCTGGTGTGGCTGGGATCACTGATCTGGCTCCAGTCATCTGGCAGGGCAAGGGAGGTGGGAAGGCCTCATTCATGTATCTTGAAGTTGGTTCTATCTGTTGGCTGGGAGTGGCCTCTTAGCCTCCTGGAGGCCAACCCAGGCTTCCTTGATTGATGGTCTCAGGGCAGTAAAAGCCTGAGGGCAAAAGCTGAGAGGCCTTTTCAGGCCAAGATTCTGAAATCATATGATGCCCTTTCTGCTGCCTTCCACTGGTAAGTCAAGTCACAGGGCTAGCTTATAAAAAGTGGACAGGAAATAGAGTCTCCATTTTAATGGAAGGAGTAGCAAAGTTGAATTGCAAAGAGGCACGTGCACAAGACTTAGAATTGTCACAGCTATCCGGGTAAACTGTTCAGTGGCACATTTCTCATGTCACTACCAAAGGCTTACCAAAGAGGACCTCAGATGTATAACAATCTCTCTATCCCCAATTATGCCCTCAGTAAGCTTTGTGCATGATACAGGATGGGTGTGGTAAGGGCAGGAATGAGTGAAGGTGCAGATGGGTCCAGAGTTTGTACTCTGATGTGACATTACCTATTTTCAAACTCAGCTGTCATGAGCATATGGGTAGCTGGCCAAGCAGACCAAGCGGTCATGGGGGTAGAACTAGAGAAGAGAAGAGAGTGTTCTGAGAGCTGAGAGCTGGAGAGAAGCCAAGACAAAGCAAGCTGCTGGAGAAACTGAAGTTGAAACACAATGAACAGACCATAGAGAAACAGAGCCTCAGTGATCAGGACAGATGGAGACGAGACAGTACCTGCAGCACTGCAGCTCAGCCCCACTTCCCAGGGGTTTTGCACTGTGCCGGTTTACAGGACCTTGAGGAAAGCAGGCACTTCCATGGTGGTTGGCAGGATGTTTGTAGCAAAGAGCGGTGCCAGGCCTGCCCAGGTCCTGTTCTCTTCTCTGAACTCCTCCTGGGCCGCTGATGCTCTTCCTCCTCCCTCTTTTCACATGCCAATCACAGTCCTTAGCTGACCAGAAAGTGAGAGAAGGGCTCACCATTTAGGTGAGGAGAGGATATGTTTGGGGATAACTCTTCTTACTACCACTGCACTTCCTTCCCTCACATTGATCTCCAGATCCTGGGAAGTGACAGCAAACTAAGGTAGAGGCAGTGCAGTGTGGGCAGGGGGCAAGCAAGCCACGTTTCCCTTGGTGTCGCTGTCAAAGGTGACCCTACGCTATGACAGCCTATGAGATCTTGCAGAGACCATAGAAAGATTGTTTCTCCAATTTTTAAAAAGGATAAATCTTACTTTATCCCAAATCTTGTCAGCAGTTCCTAGCTGGGGCCGCCTCTGATTTTCAACTCCATTTTCCTTTCGAAATTTGAATTCAAGGAAAAAAAATACATATTAAGGGTACATTGGAGCCCAATTCTGGCATCAGACTGCCTGAGATCACACTCTTACTGGCGGTGTGACTATGGGAAAGATGATTGACCTTCCCATGAGTCAGTTTCCTCAAGTGTAAACTGAGGGCAACAGCAGTTTCTACCTCACGTAGTTGTAATAATTGAGTTCATCCATGTACAGCTCTTGAAACAATGCTGACCACATGCTTAGCATTCAGAAAACCTTAGCCATTTTTGTTACCACTGTTTTGTTGTTTTTTTTTATTTTTTACATGCCACTTAAGGCAAGGTGAAAAATTTAGAGAAATACACCCAGATATTCCCAGTTTTAAAATGTTTACAGTTAAACTGGGGAGACAAATGATGTATATATAAAGAACATTTAAAAGGCTGTGTTTGAGAAAAACAAATACTTCAGACAAATTACCCATATAAGTACTAAGGATGATTAAATATGGGAAAAGATATTCAATATGGGAACATGTCACTTAGAAGGAGGGTACTGGGAGGGACACTGAAGAAATGGTATTTGTGTTTGGAATACATGGGAAAATCAGTGACCAGCATGGACAACTACATTAAAGTGCCCTATTCCCATTCCTCCGAGGTCAAATGCGTGTGGTGGGCAAGTGGTAGTTATTTTCTATTATTCAAACTTGATTCTTTTGAAACACTCTCTCACTCCACCTTTTCAGTGAGGGGGTCAAAAGTTCAGAAACTTGTCATTTTGACATAATACCGGTCTACTCAGATTGGGTTGCAGTTTTCATTGTGAGTTCAATAGTTGAATTTTCCACAACACTATCAACTTCTCTTCAGGGGAATATGAGAGCTGATTCAAAGAAAACACTGTTGGCTCTTGGTGACAAGCAAGGCGGTTCTTCAGCTTTGAACACATTTTTTTACTTCTTTGCTTACTTCACCCACTCTGTCCAGATTCCGTTCTCTGGTGGAAATATGTGCGTAATTCTACATTTCTTCTTGAGTCTGAAGTTTTATGTGGCAGTTTTGCTAACAACTACAGTTTCTTACTTTAATTTTCTTTAGAGGTTATAATGACTTATTTTCATTTTTGGTCCAGTGACAAATACCTTTTGGCCCTTTTCTGTCAAGATTTTGATATACTGGTAGATTTTAGTGTATACTTTAATCTGTGTGAAAGAAAACCAGATGTGCCCTTATACTCTATACCTCAAAATTGGTCTCCTAATTGTTTTCCTACAGCACAGATCTGATGATGTCCTTCCCTTTAAATAAACTCTTGACGTCTCCCTCTAGCACACAGAATTAAGTCTACCTTCTGTTGTGTGAAATTCAAGGCCCTTTGTACCCTCTCGCTGGTCCTGCTTCCCAGGCCTCCTTCATTCCTGCTGTTCAGTGTTCTCTCTTCTCCAACCCTGTGTGGAGTGAGTTCTCAATGCCTCAGTGACCTTGACTATGCAAATTCCTCTCATCACTTTAGCCTTCCCTCTTCCCTTCCTAGAAATTTATGATCATGCTTCAAGGACTTTTCTAACTGGTCCCTGCAGGTCTAAATAATTGGTCTCCCTCTGGGCTCTCCTAGCTTTTGTCTCATACCTTCCCTGGGTTGTTACCTGTTGGTGGGCTTCTGCTGGTACTAAAAGCCACAGTTTACTTAGGGATATGGAGATATTTGGCTTCACAGACTAAGACTGCCTTCTGGATCAAATGAAGTTTCAGAGAAGTATATTTTAAAGCCTCCAATTTGTCCAGCCCACCCATACATTTGCTGTTCATCAGTCAGATAACTTGACTTTTAGTAGAATTTATTTAGAATGCTGATCATACATTGTAAGCATACAAGTTGAAAATTAAAGGCATTTGGCCTAGTCTGGGTGCTCTTTGGGGTTTAGGGTTCTACTGACATCATCCTTTGAGGCCCCACTAAGGTTGGCCTTTTTACAGACAAGGAAACTCAGATTCTGAGAGTCAGACAATGTGCTCCTGAGGCACATGTGGGCAGGGAAATGCGGTGGGTATAAGCACGGGAACGTGGAGCCAGACTATATGGGCTTAAATCCTATGCTGCTTGGGTTTAAATCCAGGCTCTGCTGTTAACCAGCCTGAACTAGTTAACTAAACCTTTCTGTGCCTTGTTTCCTTCACTATAAAATATGATAGTAATATCTCCCTTAAGACTTTTATTTTTCTTCAGAGTAAAATAATACATGTAAAGCACTGAGAACAGAGTCTGGTATGGAATAAACACATGTGTTAGCTGTATTATAATCATCATTATTAACTTTAATTAGAGCACAGAACTAAAAAGTGAATGATTTGGACCCAGGATTGGACACAGGTCCATGTGACTTCACAGATTGTTTGCTTGTACATGTTAAACTGCCTCCTGCGATGCCCATTTGCCTTGAGATTAAAGGATAGAGTGAAAGTTCTTTTCATCTTTTCCCCCAGTGATCCAAATCCTTTATCAAATAATTTTAAAATTTATGACTAGTACCTCCTGCATAATTTCTGGAGATTGGAGCCCCCAGGAGCATTAGTATGCTTTAAACCAAATTCTGAAATTATTTTGGCTTAAAATGCACGATCAGTATGTCACATATATTTTCTGGAGGCTGGAGGCTCCAGAAGTATTAACATGAAAGAGATCAAGTTCTGTTTCCACACAAGGGCATATGGTAGAAACCATGTGTCCTATTACAAAGGTTGTTCTGGGGTGTTTGCTATACCTACAATATTACTGCTATTTGTCTACTGGTGTTTGAACTCTCTATACCTGGGCCCATGGGAAGAAAGGACTCTAACCAGCCTCAGCATACTTGTTCCAGCACCTCCACCTTCTCTGCCCCCATTAAGGGGTGAAGGAAGATTCTGTAAAGTTGTAGGAGTATGTCTCTGCCTCCCCAACCCCCTTTCTCCTGTTCCTCAGAAAGGCATGGGCCCCACATTGCTCAGGAAGAAGCAAGCAGAGGTGAGAGGCAGATAAGAAAGGTGTTATGCTTGGCATGACTGGTCTAGACTTCAAGTTGGGCTTAAGTAGACATTTAGGGTGAATTTTTTATATCCCTTGAGCGTAATTTGCTGTGTCTGCATCCATATGATACCATATAATACACAAGGAAACTTACTTTGTGAGATTCATTCCCTGAAGGTTTCAATATTTTATTTTAGCTAAACTTAATTAAATTCAACAAATTCATTCTGGACTTCAAGCTATGCCATCAGACTAAGTTCTGTGGATATTTATTTGTATAAGGCCAGCTATTCCCAGTAGTTCCAAGTCTTGTTAAGGAGACAAACTAATAAGAAACTCTAATAGCCTTTGTTAATTCCTGTAATCATGCAAGCAGGAGACATGGCCCAAGTTATTGGCTGGGGTCAGGGGTGGTAGGGGGAATAGTCAAGAAAAGCTGTCTCTGAAGAGAATATAGGAAATCATCACATGGAGAAATGGCAGGGCAAGGGCTTCGAAATGTGAAGGCACCTGGCCTGTTCAACTGACTGATCTAAAAATGGTGGCTTGGAAGTGTTCCAAATGTTTTATAAGATTGATACCTTACAACATCCTATAAAGCAGGTTCTGTTGCTATTTCCATTTTATAGGTGAGGAAACCAACTTTCCCAGTGACAGACATCAAATGGCAAGATTTGAATAAGGTAAATTACCTCCATAGAAAGATAATCATTAGCCATTAAAGTTAAATACTATCCTCTGTACCACCTCTCCAGGTTGCCTCTTCTTACAAGGGCTAGCCATCAGAATCATCTGGGAGATTTCTAGAAATATACAGATCCTGTTTTTCCCCAGAGAGTTACTGGAGCCTCTTTTTGGGAAATGGCTCTACTACGCAGCCAGTTGCTCATGTATGAGCATGAGAATAGTTCATGGCATCTCTTCCTGCTTTATATTCCACATCCAAAGCATCTCCAAATTCTCTCTATCTCCACTGAAGATTTATCTAGAATTCTTCCATTTGTGCATCCAGCTCCACTTTCATGCCCACATTCAAGCTCTCCAAATCAACTCTCTCAGCTTCTCTTCTGGCCCCCTTCTAACCCATCCTCCGGACTGCAGCCACAGTGACTGTACCATCCTCTGGCTCAGAAACTTCTGGAGGCCCTGAACTGCCCGTGGAATTCAGGCCAAACCCTCCTCCTGGCTCTACAGAGCTAAGCCTATGCCCATTGTCCTGGTTCATTTCATATTGTCCTTCCTCTTGTCCAGGCACATGGACATTCTTTTATTTCCTCCAAGGTGACAAGCCCTTTTCTCCCTCGGGGTCTTCCCACATGCTGTTGTTCATTATTTAAAAATGACTCTTTGTCCTTGGATCTTTCCTGGGTCCTAGACCTTCCCTGGCCTTCTTTGTCGAAATACCCCTTCCGTATTCTCTTTTAGACCAGGCCGGTCTTTCCTTTCTTAGTACAATTTGTTGATGTGCTTACATGTGGGTACTTATTGAAATCAATGACCTCAACACAAACTGGAAGGTTCCATGAGGGCAGGGATTTACCTTCCTGTATTCAAGATTGTATCTTCTAATTAGCCCAGTGAATGGGCCAGAGCAGATGTTCTCTTTAAAACAATACAGTTTTAATGAATAAATGATAGACAAAATGGATACAAAGCTGCACGAGAGCAGAGAGGAGGTTGCTGGGTTTGTCAAGGAGGCCACTGGTCGTATCTGTTTGTCTGGTTTCAGGTGAGTGACAGGGAAGAAACCAAACACAGTGAATCCTTAAGTTGAGTGAGAAAGCAAGGAAGAAATAAAGTTAATGCTATGGGGAGGAAATAATAATTACTATGTTTCAGATCTTGAACTTGGTACTAAGCATTCATTATTTAATCATTGCATCAACCTTATGATAAGGTTCTATTATTTCCATGTGTTGGATAAGGCAAAGAATCTCTGAAAGGTTAGGTAATATGCCCAAGGTCACATTCTAGAATCTAGCAAAACCATGATAAGGCCTGATTTCAGTGTCCATGATCCAGATCAACAGACCAACAGCTCTAGATGGTGCAGAGGAATCATGGCTGTGGGTGACTTATTAAAACCACTTCCATCTAGAGATTGAAATTCTGTTACTGTAAAGAGATTGAAATTAAGCAGGTCTCTGTGAAAGTCCAGGAACCTTTCATTTTAACAAGCATATCAAGTGACTCTAAGGTAGTGTGACCCAGAGATCCTGCTCTGTGGAACACCGCTTCATGCTATGCTTCACGAGAGGTAGATTTTAGGTCACTCCCAGCTGCCGATCTAAGCCTTAGGATCTCTAAAACTCCATTTCTTATATGTACTGAGAAACATGTTTTCTCACAAGTCTAGGATGTTAAATAAGATAACTTTTAGAGTACTAGCATACAGTAGGTGCACAATACATGTTGGCATCCCCTCTCTCTGCTAGATTTTCAGGAACTTTCACTAGGTTTGGAATGACAGAAATAGGCAGTAATTTGAAGTTGTGCTAAATTCTGGGGAAATTCTATTTTTTTCCCTTATTATCTCCATTTTACAGATAGAGAAACAGAGTCACAGAGCAGTTAAGTAAGGGCCCAAGATCACAGCTTAGTAAATAGAAGCCTTCTTAATCTCTGTGCTCTTCTGATGAAGTCACAGATTTGGAAAGGAGTCTGTATTAAATGCTTATTAAATTGAATTATTGAATTTCAAATTTAGCTATTCTTTCTATTGCCTTTCTCTTAAAACAGAATATAATCTTCCCTTTCTCCTTTACTTGCTGACTTTTGTCTTTGACTCTTTTTAAATGTATGTCCTTGTGTTTTTATTGTAAACATCAAATACTTTTTAGGAGGCTATACTGTACCGAAATCAGGCAAGGATAGTCAGTGTGTCCCGTCATGGGTGGACCATAGGCACAGTTAAGAAGTATGGTGTTGAGATACTTAGAAATGGCTAATAGAAGCTGTAAGAACTCTGGAGGCTTCAAAGTAGCATCTGTGAGGAGGTGGTGAAGCCTCTGCACAGAAGGGTGTATGACCTGCTCCTGGTCCCTTGTCTCCTGCTGGGTGAGATCAGCGAGGGTCCTGGGACCTTGTCTTGGGCCTTTCTCTTCCAAACCTTGCACTGATTTTTCTCTGGCTGTGCCTTTATTGTGCAGAAGCACACGACCTCACCTCCCTCTTTCTATGGCTTTACTTGTACAGCAGGAACACATAAGCCAGCCCTGAATTGAAGCTTCTGCCTGCCTGTCATCTAAAAGCTTTATGTTTGTCTGGCTTGCTTTAGATAAGACCTCAGTAAGAGTCCAGAATTTTTCTCATTTGATATTTTGATCCCTTAGTTTTTATGTTGGTGTTTTGCTTTTAAGATTCATCTTTTTTTGTTCTAATATATTTAATATTTGGTCTCAATGCCTGGGTTTTTAACAAAATCTGTATAGCACACTAGAAACATGTATGGTCTTATTGCTCTTTTTTTTTTTTACCATGAATAACACTTAAACTGACAACCTGGAAACAGACTCCATTCCACTTCCCAAATTTACATTAACTTAGTGTCTGAGGGTTCTCCAGAGGCACAGATAGGATATGTAGAAACAGATGCTATAGATAAAGATAGATAGTCATTTTAAGAGATTGGTTCATATGAGTGAGTTTGGTGAGTCAGAAATCTGATGGAAACAGTCAGCAGGCTGAGACTCAGGAAAATGCTGTAGTTTTCCTACAACAGCCCAAAGATGAGGGCTGGCAGAATCCCCTCTTGTTCAGGGGGAGGCAAGCCTTTTGCACTACTCAGGCCCTCAGCTGAGTGAGTGAGGCCCACCTACATTGTGGAGGACAATCAGCGTTATTCAGGGAGTCTACTTATTTATATATAAATCTCATCCCAAACACCCTCCAGAAACTTCTAGAATAAAGTCTGACCAAATATTTGGGTGCTGTGGCCTAGCAAAGCTGGCACATAAAATTAACCATCACACTTACTGCTTTTCAAATCAGGCTCTGCAGGACAGTGTTCTAGATGCACAGAAATGTGTGTCTAGGTGTTAAAAATATATTACCAAAAAATCCAATAAAATAAGAAAGCCATTTCATGTTCAGCTGTCCACAGTTTTCAAATAATCACAGGTGAAACAGTTAATCCACCTGCTGTGGTAAGGCTGAGACGTCATGGACACATGCCTGGTCACCCTGGTGCTATCACAGAGCTCTCCTCCCACAGTTCCTGTCCATTTTGTCTTCACTTCTCTGTCCCAGGCCATCTAACCTTCCTCTTCGGCCACTTCACATTTCTTCTATATCCCTAAGGGAGCTCTGATCAAGACCAAAATGAGGTATACTGTGCAAAGAACAAAGTTTTCTGTTTTTATATAATGCGTGCTACTTTCCTTCTGCACTTAATGGCAAAGACTTCCTCATCCTGTGCTATATGCCATTAGCGACCTCTCCTTAATTAAACTTCCCACAGGCTGGAATTACATTGTGCATGTGAAGTGAAGACAATAGATATTGTTAGTGGTGTGTACACATATTTGTTGGATTTCATGAGTTGGTACAAGGTAAACCAGCTAGGAGATTCCAGAGCCTCCACCTCCTCAAAACACTGGCCCAGATTTGGCCCATGCTATGACAGACTTGCCTTGAACTGCTTTCAGGAGGAAGCTAATTGCATATGCTCCTCCCATTCCTGCCCTCTACTGCACTTTAGGGAGCAGTGCGGCAGCTTTCCCTTGGTCTGGCACAGCCTCTTCTACCCACTTCAGCAGTAACTTCCTGCTGAGGCTGACACACCTGAATACACTCCTTTCCTCTGCCCATCCAGGGGCTGTATTACGAACTCAGGGTAACTCCTAAAGCAGAGGACTTGATATCTGCCTTGTGAGGGAGCAGCCATCCCAGCTCTGTCCATTGTCCTGGACGTTACTCACAAGGATAAGACACCCAGCCCTGCGGTTCTTGACGGCTGCCATTTCTGTGCAGCAGCCACCCAGTCCCATGATCAGATGCTGCATCTGGAAACCACCTGGAGCTCTCCATCCCTAAAATCCCTCTTGTTCATTGTAGAGTGCTTTTCTTGTACTTATTTTCTTTTAGAAATGCAGATGCTCCTAAGTGGTTGAGCACTTCAGGCTGTTCTCAGAGGGTTGCTACTGGCCCTTCACTCTCCCAAATTCCAGCCCCTCACCTCTCACCAGGAGAGGTGAGAGGATAACCATCGAAGACTTACAATGGAGACGTCAGAATGACGCTCCTCTGTGCCATGGACACCAGCGCTGATAGCAGGCTAGGAAGGCCAGGCTCTTGCCTTCCATGTCTTCTCTTCCTCTGTCCCATGTCTCTCTCCAGGCTGGGAAGGGAGGGTGGAGGTGGATGCTGCTTGGAAGACTGTACATAACAGACACCAGAAGGGGGTGAAGTCTCCTAGGCTTTGGGGTGGAGAAGAGACACCCTGGGGGCCAGAGCTCCGGCTGTGCTGCCTGGTGCCAGGGCCAGGGCTGGGCAGGCAGTCCTGACACTAAAGGCTGAATGGAGGAAGCGGGAGGTGCAGCTTGCTGTCAGCTCTTGGCTCAGGACTTCAAAGGAGCACTAGAGGCAAAGTAGGCTTCCTTCTGGGTCATTTCCTTGGGTAGAACAAAGGCAATGATGCCCTGCCTTGTAGAATCAAGGGTGTGCCAACACTGGAAGGCTCTGGAGGCAACTCAGGGAGGTGGGTGTGGTGTGGACTCCGGAGCCAGATGGTCCTGTGTGACTTCGGGCAAAGGCCTTTTCCCCCTGCTGGCCTCAGGTACACATTTCTTCCTTCAGAAAACAGAAAACAAATAGTAATTAGTTGGGAAGCATTAAGACAAGTCAAGAGCCACGGGCAGTTGCACTGCATTCTTTACATTCTGTAAGGGTTGATCCAAAGCAGGCAGGTGATAAATACCTGCTAAAGGATTCAAGCAATGTATTTTTTATTGAAAAGACTGACACAGACACAGAAGTGGTTTTTGGTTTTGTTTTGTTGTTTAAATAAGCATTGACATGGAGCATCTAACATTTCCCAAATGCCTATTTCTCTCATACCTCTAATGGGCATACAAACTACTCAGGACCCAGGCAGAGGTAACTTCCAGGGGGACGGGGCCAGAGCTGAAGCCCCAGAGCCTCACATGTCAGACATCCCAGGATCCCCAAAGGTCATTACTTCAAGGGTCAGAAAAGGCTAGTCTAGGAAGGCAGACTTCCCCTGAGAGATAAGAGGAGGCAGTGGATTTAACCCTCTGAGATTAGGGAGCCGGATCCATGGGGGTAGAGGAAACGCCATCAAAATGTGTCACTCAAGGAGTGTCAGTAAAGGGGCCTCACACGAGGCAAAGCATTTGCAAACCCATCTGCCCAGTTCTGGCAGGAGGCTGATACCAGCTTTCCCTGTTACTTCGAAAATATTAGATCTTTAGTGACTGCAATGTAAGATACCTGGCACGAGGAGTAAAACCGATTGGAAAGAAAAAGCAGAACAACATGGAAACCGCAATCTAGCAACCGGGGCTAAGGAGGCAGAAAAGAAATGTCAGAGTAGGATGTGCTACATTTCCACACTACATGACTGAGAGCGGGAGGCCAGAGTTCTTTCTTCTGACGACTTGAACACCCCCACATAAAGCAACATCAAACCTTTCCCAACTCAAAATGGATTGCGTGTCTCACATTCCAGAGTAGCTGACAGAGGCCAAAGAAGAAACAGAAAGACAACTCTCTCTTGCCCTGGAATCTGGTGGATAATCCTTGTCTGCTGCAACCCCCTTCTGCCTTGTAAACTGAATAGGGTGTGGCCGGCAGGGCAGGGGTGGCCCTTGGCTGTTGTCGTCTTGGGCCACCTCACTTTGGCTCTGTGGTGGCTGTCCTAGGGGGAATCATACCTATGGTGTGAGCCTGAGTGGTCTGACTGTCCCCTGACCCAACGCTCCTGGGTTCTGTCTGCTTTTGACCCCACTTGAGTTTGTCAGCTTGCTAAATGGGAAGTAGATAATAGAGATTGTTACCGAGCACAGTCAAGGGTCTGATGCTACTGCCAGTAAACTGAAAATGATACCCAGAAGGGATGACATTTGGGGCTTGAATTAGCTGGCACACATCATCTTAAGTTCATTCCGTGGTCCTTCATTACATCTGCACTGCTTGAAGCTGGGTGTCTCTAGGCACATAGCTCCCTCTGCATTTGCAAGTTATCTGGGGGGAGTTCTAGTGTGTACATGGCAGTGAGAAAGAGCAGTAGTAGTTCCTCAGAGAGACCACAAGAGAAAGACTGCGTTTACCGTGGTCGTTAAAAACTGCTTAAATTCTTGGTAATCAATTGTCAAATAATTGAACCACAACCCACACTTTGATTAAACTAGGTCAAATTTAAGTTTGTGTTACCTGACTTTTGGTAAAAATGGGCCAGTGTGGCAGTGAATCACCACAGAAATGCTGCTTAACGGAGCACACAATGAGACTGCATTTATTGTAAATATGCTTCTAGTCATAAGATTTTTCTGTTAGTGTACTTTAGGAAGTAAGTAAATCAACTGGGTGATTATCACCTAGAAACTCGAAAGCTCCAAGGACTATATTATGCAAACTGATTGAGCCACTTAACCTTCCTTTGCCTCAATTTCCTCATCTAAAATTGTAGGCATGATAAGACCTACTTCCCAGGGATGTTATCAGGATTAAATGAGATAATACACTTAACACTTGACACACAACCAGGTACTTAGTAGGGACCTAAATGAACTGTGGCTATTACCTGAGCCTAGGAAACTGTTACCATCCCCGTTCTGTACAGGTGTAAAAAGAAGCTGAAATGCTCGCGCAGTTTCCCAAGGACCCCAGGGCATTAAATGAAATGCTGCCATGAGGTCTGGGACATGGCAAGTACTTCAAATGTCTTTTCTCCACTTACCAAATAGTCTAGCCAAGGCAAGAACTCAGCAGCAGAGGCCCCACAGAGGTAAGAACCCTGCCTGCTACCTTGTGAATAAAGCATGTGGGGTGGGGTACAAGTTTTGATAGGTTTGCTGGGTCAGCAAGGCTCCATCAGACTAGGACAAGGCCTAATAGGTAAACTCGGGTGGAATCAGGGATGTTGGCTGGAGGTAGACAACTCTGACCTGCTTAGTGTGGAGGACACCACAAAAAGTGTGAGAGTGTTCCAAGGGGAGAGGGGATGTGGGGCTTCAAATCAGGAAAGCTGGAAAATGGTAGAAAAACAAGAAGATGAAGCACGAAGGGACTTCTTTTTCTCTTAGTTACTTTAACTAGGGATGTATGTATTCCTCAGACTGGAACCTCAAGACCAGGACATGGATATATTCTTGTGGCTTTGTGAAAATTATTTTTCTGTAGAAGAATGTACATAACTCAACTTTGAGAAATGCTGAGGAAGGCCCATTTTCTCCTTCTGAGAGATAACTGCAGTGATTAGACAGTGTCCTCACAGTAATGCAGACTTCAGAACCACTCTGTAAATTAAACCTTTCGATTTTACAGAATTCAGCTCATCAAAGATGGTATCACCTGCTTCAGATGATAAGCACTGCACAGCAGGTTCAGTTCTGGACCTGAGCGTTCATGGAGTCGCTTAGCATAGTAGTGCACATTTATATGTGACCAAAGTTAAATCTAAAAATATCTCCAACAACCTGAATTGCAATATGTGATAAATAGATTTTTATAAGCTTCAGCTTGCAAACTATACTACCACTACCACTTTCAATTTCTTAATATTTTAAGGTTGCTCTCATTTTATTTTTAAATTAGAGTACTATTTCTCTCTGTGAGCTTCAAATATTCTCATACTGAGAAACCTCATTCTTAGACCACAGCACGTGCTGTTTCCCCAGTGTAACTTTACATATGGGATAAGATGATGATACAAAACCCTAGGGAACTGGAGAGCCACCAGACGGAAAAAGACTGGATCTCTGAATGACCACCTGGGAAGAGGTGAGCACTGACTGGAGCACTTGCCCAGGAACTTCTACAAGAGCATGAAGTCAACTTCTGATGCATTATGATTCTAACTTCCAAAACCTTCTCAATCCAACAATTCAGGTGGAATGATATATTTATTCTGATATTGGTGCATCTGATTTCTTAGTTCTAATAGCAGAAAACCTTGCCTCCCTTTCTTCCCAAACCAACAGTACAGTTACAATAGGAGGCACAGAGAGGGGGAATATTTTGGTTAAGATCAGACAGCTGTCAAGGAGCTAAGTTTAGAACCTAGATTATTTTGATTAAAAGCTGTATTTTCCCCTGTGAGTTTTCAACCATGCACCAGCTGGACATCAAAACTGCATGGTGTGCTCATGGCAGAGACTGCTTCCTGGCCACTGAGCTGCCCTTCCTCTCTCAGTGGCACAACAGCTGTACAGGTATTTTCCTCCCTCCCATGCAGTTAGGCGTGGCCCTGTGACCGACTTCTTAATAGAATGAGAACCAAAGGGAAAATTCACGCCTCTGTCAGTCTGGCCATTTTCAACTTCCCACGTGTTCCATGTTATTTCCCCTCTGGTAGGTGGAAGCAAACAGTGAAACCATAGGGTGTAGGGAAGCCACAACATGGGAAGAGTCTTGGTTACTGAATGACTGCTTTAGATGGGCCTCCCTACACTCTGTGAGCTATTGCGTGAGAAGAACTTAGTTTCTGTTGTGTTAATCAACTGACATTTTGGAATCTGTTACTGCAGCTTACCTTACCTTAACTAGCACAGAGAAAAATATACTTTCCTGATCTGTACTCCAAACTTCCTAGGTCAGAATCTCTGGGATGAAGCCTAGGTATCTGTATTTTTTAGAAGTTTTCCTATGTGATTCTGATGAATCTGGTCAGACAATCACAATACTTCATTTCACAAATGACTTTTCCTTTTACCCAGCTAAATCCTTCTAGTGGGATATTTTAGGGAAATTTTTTCCATTTTCAGTTTCATCTGAGTTTTTTGAAAAAGTTATAGATCAACAATTTTCATTGATTGAGAAAAAGCTTCACTTCTGTTTTGATATTTTACTTAAATTTAATCCATTTGATTCAAGGAATTCAAGATGTATCTTCTCATGATCAGAATTTCAGGTCATGTATTCCTGCTTATCCTACTACTTATTTATCATAGCTAAACAGCTTTTCTCAAAGTATTTTCCTTCAATTTTATTTTGTAGATGTAGAATTTTTGCATTGTGTGACTCCTTGAAAGTAACATATCAATTACAGTATGAGTTCAGCAGCTGTTCATGCATTTTAGTGATTACATTGGAATTACTTTTTACTGATCTCCAAATTTTATGGGAGGGGGAGTATTAAGAGATGATGGTAAGTCCTCCCCTACCATTTCTGTAGTTCAAAAGTGAGACTATGTTTTCTTACATTATTTTATCCTTTAATTTTTTTTTCTAACTGAAGTTGGTCATGGAAATTCAACACAGTGGTAAGTTTGATCATTTTATCAAATGCCTTCAGTGTTTATAATAAGATGACACTCTTACTTGTTAAGGGGGTATATGAAGAAAGCCTTCGATATATTTAGATTCATTGATAATCAGTAGAGACACATCACATAAGGATAGCTAAAGTTTTATCGTGTGCTTACTTCATGCCAGGTGCCCTTCTAGGGGCTTTGCATAAATTAAGCCCTTTAATCCTCAAAATAACCCTGTGAGTTAAGCCCTATGTTTATCCTCATCTCATAATGAGGACATTGAGGCATGGAAGCAGGAAGGAGGATGCCCAAAGTTACACAGCAAGTAGGAGGGGTGTTGGGGTGTGAATCCATGTA